ATATACATGTAGGAATACAATTAACTTTCATTTTCATTTCCCGTAAAAAACAAAAGTTCTAGTTAACTTACTAACAGCTACTAACAGAGGAAATATAACTTGATGATATAAAGAAAAAAGAAAATGGAGAAAAACTCAACAAATTTAACCTCGTCATCCCAAGGAGGAGCAGTGTCTATTGAGAACCTGTACCCCGCGATCGTTCAATGTTTTGTCATCATTCTGTCAGGGTACATAGCAGCGCGATTAAACTGTATCACAGCCGTCCAAGGAAAAGGGATCGGGACATTTGTCTCCAAATTCTGTTTGCCAGCTCTGCTCTTCAAGAACATGTGTATTCTGAACTTTGCTGATGTGAATTGGATATTTCTACTGTGTATTCTGATAGCCAAATCTGTGATATTTTTCCTAGTGATGATATTGTGTTTACTTATAAAACGACCCCGGAATTATGGGATTGCAGGACTCTTTGCCATTTTTGCCACACAGAGTAACGATTTTGCTCTTGGCTTTCCATTGTGTAAGTTATAATTTGAATAATATTTTCAGTTTGGAATCAATTCCCCCAAAAAATGTACATATGTAATAAATTTGAAGTCTTTTAAGATTATAGAGATTATGCATAACAAATATTAAGGCCACAACTTCATGCATATATGTACATTTACAATGTACATAAAATTTGAAAATGATAAAGATCATTTTTGCATGCTACATACTGTAAATCACTTTTTTATTTTCGTGGAATAAAGCGAGGTTAAAATGCTTGGAAAAATATAATTCTCGCATATATTTGTGGTAGAAAAGATTATATAGAAGAATAACCAAGAGTTCGTGAAAATTATGTCTCTCTGCTTATCATTTGCCCGATCATGACAAGAAGCACAAAGCGGATGTGACCAATCGACACGGGATGCTTATTCCTCCATGCTTATATATACCAAATGGCCATCTCGCAAAATTAAGGTGTCATGAAAATTTGGTGATATACAGTATGTTATTGCTTATCTTGATGAAGTTTTTGATATTAACTAAGATTATGTTGTTTTTCAGTACAAGCTCTGTATGAAGACTCACACCCTGAGTATCTAAAGTACATATACCTGATAGCCCCCATCTCTGTAGTCTTTCTCAATCCAATCGGATTCATTCTACTAGAAATTCAGCAACATAAAGAGAGGGAACTGGAGAAGTCCACCCATGAGATTAAAGGTCAAGGGTCATGTATGCCATTGTCCATTGGTTTACATGTAATCAAAGGGGTCATCACAAATCCGATTGTCTTCATGACCTTCATTGGAATCATTGGAAATTTTGTTTTTCAAAGGAATTTGCCAGATTTTCTGTCTGATATTCTTGATGTATTTGGTAGGTGTTTGAAATAGTTTCTTAAACTTTGCCTTCTTAGCTAGATATTTATTCATGTTATTTGAAGCAGTTAAATTTTTTCTGATCTTGAGAAAAGAAATATTAGGGCAGTTCAAATAAGATATCTGTTTGTTTTCAGTAACAAATTTACCACATGATCTGATTTCAGGTAATGCTTATGCTGCTTCCGCCCTGTTCTACCTTGGTTTGGGTATGGTAGGGAAAGTCACAGGACAGATCAGTCTGGCTATGGTCGTACCATTACTGTTGATAGGGGCCAAAGGGTGAGATACCAAATACGGGTATCATAGACACTGTTCTTTAACCTTTTTCAGTAAACAAAATGGTGAAAAATTCACTGGAGCTACATGTAAATAGATGTTTAAAATCAACATGTAATCACAGCTGGTAATTTTCTAGTCTCTAGCATCAGAAGTACATTTATTAATTAATAGATTTGATAAGCTTACATGCTTCCTAAACAAAGAGTGTGTACTATGATAATATCCCCTTTGTGAGATTTAGTTAATTGATAACATTCGTATTTTTCTATAAAAACAGTTCTTCAACCATGGACAGCATAGTGTTAAATGTTTACAACAGCAAGCATGATTCACTGTAAAAAAAATTTATTGAAGGAAAAAACTGTAGGTTAGAATAGTATAGAATCTGTTCTAATTATGTCTGGTTTGTTGTGTAGACTGTTGATGCCGTTGGTGACTTGGATGGTGGTTGGTGGAATTGAGCGGATCAGTGACGTATCTAACTCCACCTCTGATGCTATGTTTGGATTTTTATATGGAACTTTTCCCACTGCCCCTTCTGTCTTTCTGTATGCTAGCCACTATGCCACTGGCATGGACACAGTGAGTAAATTGTGCTTTAAAAAAATTACTGAAGCATGAACTCGTGAGTAAATGAATCCTCACATCAAGAGTGCAAATGCACTCTGGTGTGATACGGTACATCACTTTGATGTAAAAGAGTTTTTTTTAGGTATCAGTGAATGCAAATTTTTCAGAGCTACTCAAAAAATAATTTTGAAACTGCAATAGATAGAGATTCACAAAGGAAGATAAAGATAGCTGCTTGTTTCACAGTATCAGGGAGTATTGAACAGTACAGTAAAACTCTTGTTTTAGCAAAGTCCTGGGACCTAGAAATCCACTTTGCTTTATTAGTATATCTCAATTCCTTTTATCTGTGCAACTAATATTGTTCAAGTTTATAGCAAATTCACATTACACATGTTTTCTTTTAAGTATGACTACCTAATATGTTCAGGGAAGTACATGTATTTAGTACAAAATTTACCTTGGAGAGCTCAAATTTTCTGTTGCATTTAAAAAACCAACAAAAAATAATATCAGCTGAATAATTTAAATTTTATGATATTAAAAATATCAATCATTAAAGAGGTAAGTTGTGCTAATTTCATCCTTATGGGTCCTAATGGGACACAAAATCAATTGGCTATATACTAAGTTCATTATATCTGAGTTCCATATGACTTAAAATTTTAAGAATTGTTAAGAATTTTGCCAGATATCAAAAAAAAAAAAAACTGCTTTATCCGTAAGATCGTTGCATCCATGTTGTGCCAATCAAGTACTGGACTGTTAAGATGCATGTACAAGCAGGTATGCCATTTAATTTAGATGTTATTAGAGAGGTTAAGCCGATGACCATGTACGTCTACGTGTACCTGTAAACATAGAAGTGTTTTTATACCCCCTCTCCGAAGGAGAGGGGGTATACTGTTTACCCTTGTGTGTCTGTCTGTCTGTCTGTCTGTCTGTGTGTCTGTCTGTCCGTAACAAATTTTGGTCGCAGTTTTCTCAGCAACTACTCATTGCAGATGCTTGAAATTTTAGCACAATCTTTGTTTAGGCATGCCATATGGTGCGATTCATTTTTGTACGAATTCGATGTCAACTTCCTGTTTTTCCGTGCGTCTGTCCGTACCATACATAATAAATTTTGGTCATAGTTTTCTCAGCAACTACTCATCGCAGATGCTTGAAATTTTAGCACAGTCTTTGTTTAGGCATGCCATATGGTGGGATTCATTTTGGTACAAATCCGATGTCAACTTCCTGTTTATCCGTGCGTCTGTCCGTACCACACATAACAAACTTCGGTCGCAGATTTCTCAGCAACTACTCATCGCAGGTGCTTGAAATTTTAACACACTCTTTGTTTAGGCATGTCATATGGTGGGATTCATTTTGGTACAAATCCGATGTCGACTTCCTGTTTATCCGTGCGTCTGTCCGTACCACACATAACAAACTTTGGTCGCAGATTTCTCAGCAACTACTCATTGCAGGTGCTTGAAATATTAACACACTCTTTGTTTAGGCATGTCATATGGTGGGATTCATTTTTGTACGAATCCGATGTCAACTTCCTGTTTATCCGTGCGTCTGTCCATACCATACATAAAAAATTTTGGTCGTAGTTTTCTCAGCAACTACTCATCGCAGATGCTTGAAGTTTTAGCACAATCTTTGTTTAGGCATGCCTTATAATGGGATTCATTTTGGTACAAATCCGATGTCAACTTCCTGTTTATCCGTGCATCTGTCCGTACCATACATACATAACAAATTTTGGTCGTAGTTTTCTCAGCAACTACTCATCGCAGGTGCTTGAAATTTTAACACAGTGTTTGTTTAGGGATGCCATATGTTGGGATACATTTTTTACAAATCCGATGTCAATTTCCTGATTATCACTGTGTTTGTCCGTAACTGAACTTGTGTATTCACATCAGAGCGGGGGTATTATTAGTGAGCATTGGCTCACAGACTTCTTGTTACACCAAACTAACGTCATCTTCTGTTTAACAAACGGTACGTGTACCAAACGTGTAAAACGTCATTTCAACAAGTCACTTTACAATCCATTTGTAGTATTACGCGGTATGCAAAATTGATGACGTAAATTGCAGTAAATTAGGGGATTTCCCTAGCTACATGTACAGGGTCATCTGCTTAACCTCTCTATTATGCCCCCCTTGGAAGAAAATGAATAAATCATGGAATCCCCCCCCCCCCCCTCCATTATATTGCTTTGCTGCTGTCTGTTGATTGGTCTGTATGTCAATCCACCAACAGTTTCCATTCATTTTCTTTGCAGAGATTGCACATACTGAAATGAAATTTGGTATACAGATTTATCATTAGAATATCTAAGTTCTGTTTTGGGTACGATCGAGCAATTTATGACAGAGTTTTGCCCCTTGGACTTTGAAAAATTTCAATTATTTGAAGGGGGGGGGCATAAGTGTTTCACAAACATCTCTTGTTTCCATTTAGGTTGCCTTTGGTATGGTAGCTGGGACATTCCTGGCCGCACCCCTCATGTTTGTCTCAGCCCGTATGTTGAGTGTTGTGGTGGTCAGTGAAATGGATTACAAAGATCTCCTTCTGAAGACGTCCACTGATATAAGCATCATCAGTATGGTAGCCTGTGTAAGTAATGTCAATGGTGCTATATTCGCCTTGAAAATATAAGATATGTTAATGGTGCTATGGATGCCTTTGTAAGTATTGGACATGTTTAAATGATCATATTGTTTATGTAATACTTACTTACCTTCTTATGGGTTTTATATCTTCTTTTAAGTGGATTTTACTTGTAAATATCTACTAATATTTTGTTTTTTAGGTATGGGTACTCATCATTATGTTTGGTAGCAAGAGATTCAAGCGAATTCCTCATCAATTTCTAGTCTGTCTTATCTTGTCTCATGTGAGTTGTAATTTTCTCCAACTGAATAATAATTTCTCTTTTACGCTGTCTTGTGTGAGTAGTATTTTCTCTCTTATACTGCATGCATTTACGTGTACTACAGTTGAACTTTGGTATCTCGAACACGGATATCTCGAATACCATGGATATGTCAAAGTGATTGGGAAGTCCTTACCGTATTTTTAGCTCACCTCAGCCGAAGGCTCAAGTGAGCTTTTCTGATCACATTTTGTCTGTAGTCCGTCTGTCCGTCTGTCTGTCTGTCTGTCTGTCCGTCCGTCCGTCTGTAAACTTTTCACATTTTCGACTTCTTCTCAAGAACCACTGGGCCAATTTCAACCAAACTTACCACAAAGTATCCTTGGGTGAAGGGGGTTCAAGTTTGTTCAAACGAAGGGCCACGCCCTCTTTCAAGGGGAGATAATGAAGAATTAGTGAAAAATTAGTAGCATCATTTAAAAATCTTCTTCTCAAGAACCACAAAGCCAGGGAAGATGAAACTCATGTGGAAGCATCCTCAGGTAGTGTAGATTCAAGTTTGTTCAAATCATGACCCCCGGGGGTAGGGCGGGGCCACAGTGGAGGATCAAATTTTTACATAGAAATATATAGGAAAAACCTTTAAAAATCTTCTTCTCAAGAACAGCAAAGCCCTAATTAGTCATATTTATATGGCAGCATCCTCAGGTAGTGTAGATTCAAATTTGTCCAAATCATGACCCCTGGGGGTAGGGCGGGGCCACAATGGAGGATCAAAGTTTTACATAGAAATATATAGGAAAAATCTTTAAAAATCTTCTTCTCAAGAACAGCAAAGCCCTAATTAGTCATATTTATATGGCAGCATCCTCAGGTAGTGTAGATTCAAATTTGTCCAAATCATGACCCCTGGGGGTAGGGCGGGGCCACAATGGAGGATCAAAGTTTTACATAGAAATATATAGGAAAAATCTTTAAAAATCTTCTTCTCAATAACAGCAAAGCCCTAATTTTCATATTTATATTGCAGCATCCTCAGGTAGTGTAGATTCAAGTTTGTTCAAATCATGACCCCCCGGGGGTAGGGCGAGGCCACAATGGAGGATCAAAGTTTTACATAGAAATATATAGGAAAAACCTTTAAAAAATCTTCTTCTCAATAACAGCAAAGCCCTAATTGGTCATATTTATATTGCAGCATCCTCAGGTAGTGTAGATTTAAATTTGTCCAAATCATGACCCCTGGGGGTAGGGCGGGGCCACAATGGAGGATCAAAGTTTTACATAGAAATATATAGGAAAAATCTTTAAAAATCTTCTTCTCAAGAACAGCAAAGCCCTAATTAGTCATATTTATATGGCAGCATCCTCAGGTAGTGTAGATTCAAATTTGTCCAAATCATGACCCCTGGGGGTAGGGCGGGGCCACAATGGAGGATCAAAGTTTTACATAGAAATATATAGGAAAAATCTTTAAAAATCTTCTTCTCAATAACAGCAAAGCCCTAATTTTCATATTTATATTGCAGCATCCTCAGGTAGTGTAGATTCAAGTTTGTTCAAATCATGACCCCCCGGGGGTAGGGCGAGGCCACAATGGAGGATCAAAGTTTTACATAGAAATATATAGGAAAAACCTTTAAAAATCTTCTTCTCAATAACAGCAAAGCCCTAATTGGTCATATTTATATTGCAGCATCCTCAGGTAGTGTAGATTTAAATTTGTCCAAATCATGACCCCTGGGGGTAGGGCGGGGCCACAATTGAGGATCAAAGTTTTACATAGAAATATATAGGAAAAATCTTTAAAAATTTTCTTCTCAATAACAGCAAAGCCCTAATTGGTCATATTTATATGAAAGCATCCTCAGGTAGTGTAGATTCAAGTTTGTTCAAATCATGACCCCCTGGGGGTAGGGTGGGGCCACAATGGAGGATCAAAGTTTTACATAGAAATATATAGGAAAAATCATTAAATATCTTCTTCTCAGGAACAGCAAAGCCCTGATTGATCATATTTATGTGGAAGTACCCACAGGTAGTGTAGATTCAAGTTTGTTCAAATCATGACCCCGAGGGGGTAGGGTGGGGCCACAATGGAGGATAAAAGTCTGAAATAGAAATATATAGGAAGATATGTTCTGATGAAGAACTGCAAAGCCATGATTAGTCATTTTGATATGGAAGCATCCTCAGGTAGTGTAGATTCAAGTTTGTTAAAATGATGACCCCAGGGGATAGGGATGGGCCATAATGGGGGATCGAAAATTTTACATAGGAACATATAGGAAAATATCTTCTTCTCAAGAACTGAAAATCATGTTTAGTCATTTTGATATGGAAGCATCCTCAGGTAGTGTAAATTCAATTTTGTTCAAATGATGACCCCCGAGGGTAGGATGGGGCCCAATAAGGGGATCGAAAGTTTTACATAGGAACATATAGAAAAAAATTTCTTCTCAAGAACAGAGAAGCTATGTTTAGTCATATTGATATGGAAGCATCCTCAGGTAGTGTAGATTCAAGTTTGTTCAAATGATGACCCGTGGGATAGGGAGGAGCCACAATGGGGTATCAAATTTTTACAGAGGAATATATGGGAATTTTTTTTTAAAATCTACACAAGTACAACTAAGCCATTTGTTAAAACAAATTATATATTGACATGGACGCACCATACTGAACTGATTTGTGCTTTTGCCTTGCCAATGTGCTCAGGTGAGCGATGTGGCCCATGGGCCTCTTGTTTAACAAGTATTTTTACCCTCGATATCTTGAACCCTCAGATATCTTGAAGTTTTTTCTCATTCCCATTGAGTTCGAGATAACGAGGTTTGACTGTACATGTCATGTTTAGTAAACTGTTTGATCTGGTTGTTTTATTTAAAAAGATACATAGTCCCAACTTGAAGGCATACATAATCTCTCTACATTGAATTGTTTTTGTAACCCCAAACAGACATTTTTTTTTTCATTGAAACATTTTATTCACAGTTTATATCCTGTTTGGGTATGGTTATATATGGCTACAAGGATTGCTCACAAGAAATGCAGTCCTGGAAACACTACGTCGAATTCACGATGATTCTGGCTGGAACCCTGGCCACTCGGTGCTGGACAATGGTCATCGCTATCACACTCTACCTTATTCACTGCCGCAGTCTATGTTTTGTGCTAAGATTTCGATTCTGGCTCTATTTTCTGGGTTTTGGGTAAGCTTGAGAGGTATATTTGAAATCCTAGTTATAGAATCCATGGCTCTTTGATCTGTAATATGCAAATTAATGGCTAAATTTAGAGATCTGTGCTAAACACTTTTGGTTTCAGAAATCTACATGGATATGTTGCAGGGTATACTACCCTTCTGCTTCACTAATAGACTTTGTCTTTCTTAAAGGGAGACGTAATTCAAGATATCATTTTATCATAAAATGATTAAAAATTTAATACAGATAACCCTACAGATTTGTTTGATTTCAGGGCCGCAATGTTAAGCACTGGAGTCCTGTACCTGTCTGGAAAACACCACATGCACGACGAAATAGATCCTTCATTTCACTACGGAACAGATCAGGTTTGTTATTAACAGATGTAATATAATCCATCCTCAGTAGAAATAACGGGAGCACTGGCATGTGATGTTTGATGTCAGTGAACAATCATCAGTTCCATTTGAAGCAAACTAAGTTTGTTTTGTGATTTACACAGACTTGTCACAAAGGCATATTTCAGAAAGCATGCTAGTGCTTCATGAAAAGTAAGCCTATGTGCAAGTCTGTGTGATTTACACAACAATAACTTCACAAACTAAAAAACATTTTTTTATGTTTACATTTTAATGCTTTAAAACCAGCAGAAATACACTCAATATTTGAATTGTGGCTGCCCTATATTTATTTTTTTTTTACATTTCTGTTTCATCATTGTGACTTCACAATAATACATGTTTTTCCATGTTTATATTTATGCATGACTATACACAAAAGATGGCAATCAAATCAATTTCTTACTTGACTTAGTAAAAAACACACAGCAAATGAAAATATTTCTTTATGACTTATATTCTACTTGTAGACTATCCTGTCTGTGTTGTTCATCCTATTCTGTTGTGTCGTCACAATCATCTGCCTCGTTCTGAAACAGCGCAACGGACGAGACTACAAACTACTCGCAACAGAAGAGCCAGATGTGGAACAATCCATTAAGGTCGCAAAGATAAAGTCTAAAGGCAAAAAAGTCAACAGCAGGGTCACAAAACCAAGAGTGGGGAATTGTCAAGTTCAGGTCCATGGTGAAAATTCCACCAATCGCAGCCCTCCGTACAGAGGGTCGTGTAATGATTGCGATCAGGGTTGTGCGGGAGGTAAGAATCATCTTTTTATGAAATTTTTAAGTAATGTTTTGTTTAATTAATCTATATTAGGTAATACATCTCACATTAAACCTGTACAGTACATTGGGCTTTTGAAGTTGGCAAGTTTCAGTTTCCTCTTTTTTAAATATATTTATTTTCTATCTTGAATTCACCTTTATCATTCTAATGTCAGATTTTTTCATTATAATATTGAGTTCAGAAAACAAAAAACCCTGAACAACTTCATGTAAAGTCTTTTGTGTACAATAGTAAATGCATTATTTATTCTTTTTAAAAATGGTAAATTATCTAGTTACGATAAGTGCATACTGTCTTCTACACAAATATAAAATACTGTACTTAATAAATGAAAGAATAAATGAATTACTTAATATTAAAGAAATCTTTTATTTCTAAAAACCTGAAGGTTTAGGAGAATCTCATTCTGAGGTTAGAACAAGAAATCCTCAAAATATACAAGGTAAAGACAGACAGCTTTATAATAACCTTCTGTAAGAGTGGCTAATAATACATTGAATTAATCCGCATTGCAGTGTACTCAGCTAACATGCTAATGCTTGGTTTTATATAACTTATGCTAAAAGCTGATATAAGGTAATTAATTACATGTAGATGGAACATAGCATGAAAATATTGCAATGGTTGAAGATTTCATGTCATTGTTAAAAAATCGAACATAGTTGATCTAGAGAGCTAGATTAGAACTATTATGTTTGTACATAAATGTGTGGGTTGCGGTGGGCTTACATATATATAAACTAGAATAGTATCAAGCATATATTTTAAGTTTTAATGTGTACCTGTATTGGTGAGAAGGATAAAGTGGAAAAAGAAAACAATTTTAAAAGAGAGAACATGTTTTCTGTCATTGTAGTTAATATATTTTCTGTTTCTGGTGGAATGGGTAAGGAGTCCCTGTAGTTTTCCGGCTAGTCCTCCATTTACATTTCTATATCAACATATCATTGTCATAAACACATCTTTTGAAATTCACAGCTTTTAAAGTTCAAATAATTTGTGCACATCATCATCAGCATTAAAATCACCATTTTCATTTAACTAAAGCATTTTTTTAGCTCACCTCAACGAAGTTGGGGGAGCTTATGTAATACCCTCGGCGTCGGTGTCTGCGTCCCAGGTTAAGGTTTTTGGAGCAGTTTTCTTTTCAAGTACTTCTATGGCCTATATTAGTCAGAGATGCTTGGAGGATGCTTCTAGAGTGTTTCATTGTACCAGTCAAGGTTTCAGATGCTGCAATTTCAGCTAAAGAATGACCAGGTTAATGTTTTTGGAGCAGGTTAAAATTTTTGGAGCAGGTTAAAGTTTTTGGAGCAGGTCTCATTTCCAAGTAACTATAAGCCCTATATTGACCAAACTTGCATGGATGATACATCTAAGGATGCACACATCTGAACTTGCTTCAGATGCTGGATCTGACCTACATTTTCCGGATGAGTAACCACTAACCAGGTCAAAGTTTTTGGAGCAGATGTCATTTCCAAGTAACTATAAGCCCTGTATTGACTAAACTTGCATGGATGATACATCTAAGAATTCACACTACTAGACTTGCTTCGGATGCTGTATCTGACCTACATTTTCCGGATGAGTGACCAGGTTAAAGTTTTTGGAGCAGATCTCATTTCCAAGTAACTATAAGGCCTATCTGAACCAAACTTGCATGGATAATGCATCAAGGGACAAACAATCTCAAACTTGCTTTGGATGCTGGATTTGACTTACATTTTCTGGATGAGTGACTAGTTTTAAGTTTTCAGATAAGTATATTCCCAAGTAACTGCAAGCCCTATCAGACCAAAATTGCATAAATGTTGCATCTAGGGATGCACACTCCTAGATTATTAGTTTAGTGTGGGACTTTGCCTTACTTAAAGACAACATTCGTTGAGGTGAGCTCTGTAATCTCTGATTACCTATGTTTTACTTTTGAATTTTCATGGAATTTTTGCAGTTCTTCAAGATGAAGTGTTTGTTAGGCTAATATTTTTTTTTTTTCCAGAAGAGAGGGGGGTGTTATTTTATGCATCAGGTACACAATATGTCCAAACATTACTTTAACATGAAATTTAACACATTCCAGGTATCTTTTATTAATGAAATCACAGCTAACAATACTGTGATTGATAAGCATCTTTTTGCAAAGTGATGCATTTTTATCTGCTTCAAATTATTGTTCATGTAATTGATAAGAAATCAAAATAATTTAGATTTTTAAAGTATTAACAAAGGAAAGAAAAAGAAATTAGAGCTCTACTTGTGTAACAAAATATAGCTTTAAAATTCTGTCCCTAAGAAGATAGGATCCTTTACTTAGCGTATACATATATAAAATGTGGCATTTATGTATTGCTTGCACTGTAACATATATATTTATAAATCTTACAGTGGAAGAGAACATTGAAGACATTGTGCCATTTCCCAGTGAGTCCTCAAGTCTTTTGTCTGACAGCTCAGAGAGTAGCGCAGAGTCCCGACCATATCTGACACGTTCCACGGAGGAGCTGACATGTAAATACGGGGCCTGTTCTAGCGAGCAGAAGCGCCGGTGTATGGGACGACTGAGGGCCTACCAGGCATCGGTAATTAACGTCGCCATGGGTGATGAGGGAGTCCGGTTTAACCAGCCCAGACGGTGCCCGAGGGATGAGTACCAGACAAACCGGTTCCTGATACTCCTGGTTCTACTTCTCCTCTCCATGTTTATCGTGAGTTTTTAATTGTCAAGAAAACGGGCCATTTTATTTCATGTTCAACATGTTTATCGTGAGTTTTTAATTGTCAAGAAAACGGGCCATTTTATTTCATGTTCAACATGTTTATCCTGAGTTTTTGATTGTCAAGAATACGGGCCATTTTATTTCATGTTCAACATGTTTATCCTGAGTTTTTAATTGTCAAGAAAACGGGCCATTTTATTTCATGTTGAACATGTTTATTGTGAGTTTTTGATTGTCAAGAAAACGGGCCATTTTATTTCATGTTCAACATGTTTATCGTGAGTTTTTAATTCTCAAGAAAACGGGACATTTTATTTCATGTTCAACATGTTTATGATGAGTTTTTAATTGTCAAGAAAATGGGCCATTTTATTTCATGTTCATGTTTATCTTGAGTTTTTAATTGTCAAGCAAACAGGCCATTTTATTTCATGTTCAACATGTTTATCATGAGTTTATAATTGTCAAGCAAACCAGTTATTTTATTTCATGTTCAACATGTTTATCGTGAGTGTGGTTTTATTGTGGGTCATTTTATTTTATATTCAAAAATTAGATTTTAATCAAAAATGGCTTTAATTTGAGTACTCTGATTAAACAGTGTCCAATAAGTCAGAAAAATTTGATTTAAAAATATAACTTATTTTAGTGTTGAATAAAAACAAAATTAATTTGACATGATTTAGTTATGCCCCTTGGTGTTTTATAACTTCTACAATACATGTAGAAGCATACCAGTGCTGTATCGACACAATCTTTTGATGTCGTATATATTGACAGGGTCTCTTCCTATGTACCTGGAGATTATTCAACAAAACCATTTCTGGAATTTATGTGGAGATGGAGTTCTTAGATGCTGTGTTTAATTATGGACAGGTATTTAATATAATTACTGGTACATAAATATATCCAGTAAAAAGTACAATGAATTGATTAAACAATTTATGTATCCATATGTTAAATACGGTATATATCTCAAACTTGATCAGAATGAAATATAAGAAAAGTTCTTATGATCTTATCAGCCCTTCTCTTTTGTTGGTTTCAGGGCTTCATTATATTAGCCATATTTGGATTTGATACCAAGTACATTTTTCTACCATTTATAAGAAGGTAAGATCCTGTGTTACAAATTAAGAAATGTAGTGTTTGCCACAGGACTTTCTCTTTCAACCCTATAGTGTGGAAAAATAGTAGCAAATTAATTTTCACTAATGCTAGTTTGCTTCATTGATTCAGTTATAATTATATTAAACATTAAAGTTTGTTAAAAAGCTTTGGAGATTATTATAATTATTACATTACATGTAATAAAATTGAAGTGGAAACAGATAATATCTGAAATGATTAAGCCTCAAATGATATAACATTAATTAGATGTTTTGACTTTTAAGAAAAATATCCTGATGAATTTTAAAAAAAGTTTTTTTCTTCAAAAAGACTTGTGACAGTTGCCAAAAATAGAAGGTATATACAAAACTATGGCAAATTTTCCATCGCCTCCTACAATATATTAATAAGTGTATAAATGACTGATACTATAAATAATTTAAGTGATACCTATATTAGATATTCTGCATGTCATCTCATGCCATACAAAAAGTGATATCTACCTGAGCTCTTATATCCTCCATAAATAAGAGAAATCAATTATATTGTATATACCTGCTTTATGGAATGATTCTAACATGATGTTTTGTAAGGTGGAGTAATAGGCATTTTTTGCACTGAATCTTGCATTTATATGTGTATGGTAAAAAAAAAAAGAAAAGATTTAAAGGAACTTTCAAACTGTTCAAGATTTTTTTGAATTCAGTTTGAAAGCTCAAAGACGAGTATTTTACTGTCTAATAAATTTTGGACCAAAGTTTTCAGTTTTGAGTTTATATTGAGAAAAGATTTTTGAAATAGAAGCTAAATCAAGTTTCCAAATTTGTTTACGTGTGAGCATGAAAGGTGCATATGTACATGTAAATCAGCAAATGATATAATAATGAATCTATCATGATTATAGTTTGTTGTGATATATTATAAACTTTGCTTACCTCCTAGTGGTTACTACACAGTCAACTTTGTTATCTCGAACTTGTTTGGACCAAGAAAAAACTTCGAGATATCCAAGGGTTCAAGAAATTGAGGGTAAAATACTGAAAGTAAACAAGCTTGGGACTAGCTTCCAAATCACTTTGACATGTCCATGGTGTTCGAGATACTGAAGTTTTGCTGTACTGATATCCTTATGCTGTGAAATCACGAATTTCATAGGGGTGTAATTTTCATTGTCATCATCATACTATTATGAAAAAAACTACCTAGTTCATGTCTTCCACTAAATGTCAATGTTTCAAACTACAATACTGAGTTTCTTTTTCAACCACAATATCAAATCCCTACCAACCATTTCTTCTCCTCAAACCAGGAAAATTTCACCCCAGGAAAACAAGTGATTTTACAGAATCTCACATCTTAACTATTAACACTGATCCTTCTTTGCTAGTCTGACATCAAATGTCCGATTGAAATGGCTGAAGCTGATGTGTCTCAGGTAACCATGGTAACCAGTCGGCCATGTTGTTTGTATATATACATGTGTAACCTTTTCTGTGTGCTCAGTGTTGCAATGTTGTCTACAGAAAAAAAAAACACAGTTAAAGTGACTCATAATTGATAGTATTTCATGGGGATGGGTATCGCCATATTTTCCAAAACATCTTGATGATATCATGATATTTTTACACATAATTATTTCTATGATTTTAAAATGAATTTCCATGATTTTTTTAACAAATATAGTGTGAAAACTCCACTTTTTTCCCATTTTTAGTTATATACATGTATTACTAATGCATATTTTGATGCTAGGATGTTGTTGTTTTACAACAATTTTTACAATCCCTGTAATTGTAATTCAAGAGCTCGAACAAAAAATAACTATTTCTTTTTTTCTCTGTAAGAGGGAGGGGGAGGGGGGGGGGGGTAACATACACTTTAGCTGTGTTTGCTTCGAAGTTCAAATAAGAATTACTACGATTTTTATTCTATTTATTTTATGTTATTAAAATTTTCAATTTAAAGTCTAGAGGATGGAATTTGTTTTCTTACATCTCCATTTTAATTCTTTTTTAATTTAGGATCAGAGAATATCTATGGTATATATCAAAATAGTTTTTTGGGGGAGAAATTATTAACTTCAGCGGTTAATGGTTTTGCATGCCATTGAATAAATTTCTCAAATATTCATCTTGGATTAAAATTTACCCAAAAATTGTGAATTGAATCATTTACAGCACCCATTTTGCTGTTTATGTACATATGTAATTTCTTGAGATTTTGACCAGGAACCTCTCAGCTGTCCACTTTTAGCCAGTCTGACACCAAGTTTTATTTACTGCATGCAGTGCACGTATATTCCTAGTGAATCTGTAGGAAATCTGAAACAGAGGCCTGATTTAATTGAAAGAATATTATTATAGGACATAGACAACCTCACTGTTTGATTATATACATTCAAAGATTTGAAATTTATGATGAAACTAATGATTTTCTTATATATGCATGTTCATGTTGTGTTTGAAAGCTAAATATTGATACCTATTACAGGTATACTTGTATAGGTGTCGGTATTAAGTAAAGAGATGCCCATAATAATGCCTTGCTTAAGAAAGCCATGTGTATTTTTTTCTGGTTTCAAACCCCTGCTGAATGAAGATATAAGCAAATGCTTCATTATTTTGTAAACTAGGCAGGTTGCTTTATCAGATGCAGAGAGAGACTGTGCCATGCTCCTCCTGATATAAAATAACTAACTTGCCATCAAGTAGAATAAAAAAAAGGAAAATACATTAATTTTAGTATTTTGTAATTTTAAGATTAAGGAGGCTCGGGGGTCAACAAATTAACCATCAGATATAACTTATTTTTTTAGATATGATATCTTAAGCTGTCAACTATCAATTGGCAAAGAAAAATTTCATACATATTAGTTTTAAAATTTGATCATTTTTGTTTATCTTTATATGGAGCTTTCCTTCTAAAGGAATTAATATAGTCTAAAAATGGCCACAACCAACCAGCCCTCTTAAATTGCATAGGTCACTGGTAGGTGGAGATTATTTGTACATGTGCAAGTTGCTATATCAGATTCTGGTGTAAAGAGAAAGCTATGCTTTAGCAGAGGTTCCCCATGATATAAAATACCTGAGGTAAATCCACACTTTTCAAAATTTGTGTCCCTTTGTCCCTGTCTTTTGTTGCAAAACCCACAGATTTCTCACAGTAGCCTTTTTAATGTACTTTATGGTTAATATCTTTGTCATTTGATATTAAAAAATGTTTGCATCTTATATTTTGATTGCCCCAGGATGAGGCAACTCATACATTGAAAATGAAAAAAAAAAAATCCAAAGTGAATTTTATAACAGTACACCAAAATTTTGGTAGTATAAAGAAGAGAAAGGTGTTTTTTTTTCCTTTTTTGACCATTGGTGCAAAGTGACACATCTCAATTTACTTTTAGCAAAGTGTGGATTAAACTATTCAAGAGTGTAATAAAGCAAATGGAAAATGCCTTTTCATTATAATTTTAAGATAAATGATTTTATTTATTTATAGGTAAATACATTAAAATTACTTCTTCTTTACAATAACATTATAATATAATAAAATACTTTCTAATCATCATTTGAATTTTAATTTCCTCCAATGATTTTACTTATCTTTATATAACACAATTCTAATAGACCTATAATACATCAGATACATGTGAGATAGTAATTAGCTTCTTAGAGTTATCTTTTCTTGATTGATTACAGGTGGCGCCGCTTAGTATACGGAGTAGAAGTGGTACAGATTCCAGAGAGGGGAGACTTAGATGAGGAAACTATTCATCTTTGTGAGCAGTTCGTCAAATACCACATGGAAAATTGCTCCAAAAAAATTGTCAAAGATCACAAGTAGGTATTCATTGAAGCATAAAATATATAGTCTGAGTGTTGCATTGATATACTGAATGTGTACATAAATTGGTGTATTCAAAATTTAGCACAATCACTAGGTATGGAGTTGTTGGCGAAATCATGAATTAGTGTTACACATGTCCGTACCTTGTATTGCATTGAATGATTTCTCAGCGGTATTCATGAATTAGCGCATCATTGTCCACGCTAAAGTTGCAATATGAGGCCTTTTAAGTACACATACAGTATAGCAAGGCCTCTGTGGTGAGACATTTGTTACATGCATGTATTTTGATGGGTGTACATGTATAATGGTAAAGGTTTTCCTATCCATCCATCTCTATTCAACAAACCTTGTCAGATGATGCATCTTTTAGTGGAAAATGTGCTGCAACCCATATATAGGTCATTGTGACTTCATTTTGTTATTTTTGGGCAGCTACACATTGTAAAATTTATCTGGATCATATCAAACTGTTAGATCTAGAATCATTAACTTTGTCACTTGATATGCATCTTGAGGGGGGAAAATGTGTCTCAAACCAAAAGTTGGTTACTGTCCATTTGCTTCATTTAAAGCTCTGAAAATGTTTTTTAACCTCGATAACACAAATTTTTGGATAACTAGAAGTTTAATTTCAGTCTCGTTAAAATTGAATACAGGTTTGACTGTGTTTATGTTGTGTCATGGCTTTGATTAGCATGTCATTTGCCCTTGTGGCACATTTTGTAATATGAGACATGCTGTAACATACATGTACATGTACTGCTTGGAATCTGCGCTCTAGACATGATAAATCAATCACTTATCAACTGTAAGCGAACACTGATTGATTGATTACTGGTGGTATTTGAAAACTAATCAATCAAATCACTAATTGATCAAACTTCCTGAGCAATTTGATCCATTAGTATTCAATGACCTACTTTTGATGTTTCATGGCTATATCTAAATATTTCAGATAATAAGAGACTTAGAATCATTAAGCTTTGACAGATGATGTATCTTGGGTCCTGGAATGTTTCAACCAAAAAATAGGTCACCATGACCTATTTTTGGAATTTCACAAATTTATATCAATACTTCAGATAATAAAAGGCTTAGAATCATCAAACTTTGTAAGTTGATGCATCTTGGATCTTTGGCGTGTTTCAACCAAAAAGTAGGTCACCTTGGCCTATTTTTGAAATTTCACACTTTTATTTGTATTTAGGGTGCTAAAAGACTTGGAACAATCAATCTTTGTTAGTTGACTCATTTGGGTTTTCAAATTGTGTCAACCAAAAATTAGGTCACAATGACCTGGGCTGTATCTAAATATTTTGGGTATTAAGATGCTTGGAATCATCCATCTTTGTCAGTTACTGCATCTTGTGTTCTCAGAGTATGTTAACAAAAACATAGATCATGGTGACCTACTTTTGGAATTTCAAAGCTTTATCTAAATATTTACGACACTAAGAGGCTTCAAGTAGAAGTGATAAAGTTGTACAATTTATCAGAAGAGCAATTTGAGGCCCTTGTGTCTCTTGTTTTGATAAGTATAACATTAATTGCTAAAATTATGTATATTGAATGAACTATTATTTTTTTTTTTTTGATAGATACAACTTCCGACAATACAAAGATGTGTTTACAGGAATGGACATGTGTGATTGGTTGTTAGAAGTTGGCCTCGTACACGACCGCGGGGAAGCTGTGAACTATGGGAGGACACTTCTAATTGGTCGAGTGATTGCACATGTCAAAAATGAGCACCATTTTCATGACTTGTCCTATTTTTATTGTTTTCTTGACGATGAGGAGTCTGTATTAAAAAGCATCACTGAAGACTCATGATGTCAGCTCTGGTCAGCTGGAAGGCATTTTTACGTTGCATTTTGTTGATAAATATTGCATGTTCGTCTTCAATAGCCCTGACTCTCAGTCCATAAATCAACAAGGGTGATCTCCAAAACAATCATATCTGCTTGTTTGTATCTAACATTTTTGTAATGTTCTGCCTGTTTTATACAAATGGTACAACATATATCATTATAGTTTTGTTCTAGTCTATGTGCTTGTTTGAGATTTCCATTATATGCTGAACCATAGTCATGAAATAAAGAGTAGATTTAGGTTAGATTTATTATGAAATTTATAATGAAAACAGGAACATTAGCTTATGTCAATTAGTACCATGAAAAAATCATATCAACATGTTTATCGTACATTTACATGTATTAGAATAAGATTAGGTTGGACTTTGTTTCTGTATATTGTAACTAAGCGAATTTAATTTAATTTTGTATGATTTCCATTAATCATATGTGTTTTAGATGCCATTTACGGCTTTATGTGACATGAAATTTTATATTTCACTGTCCTTTTTCGTAGATTTGTATGTAACTAGTGCTTGACATACAATGTCATGTAATTAATGTCTCAAATTGTAGATTATGTAAGAAAATTTTTTATCATGAGAGAAAAAAGTATTTCTGAATGTAATTTTTATTGATCTATAGTACAACCATGTACATTATAATTCTATGTTTATGTACTTGTGTTTTGATTGATTGTCAGTGCTTCACATATTAGGCAAATCAATCATTCACCCCCTGGTATCAAGTTATTTTCATATTTATTTTGGTGTCTTTATGGGTATGAAAAACATTCCTTTTTCTTTGTGTCATCATTTGTTGAATGATATGTCACAATGTGTGCTGGTAAAGATGATTGTGTATATGTGGAGAAATAGGTAAAGTTTTGTCTCAGATCATTTTAATTTATGAGGTGGTAACATTTTTAATTTAACATATTTCAATTAAATGCTTAGAGATTATCAAATCTTTACAGGGATCTCCCATACAGAATGTAATGATTGATACACTGTATATAACAAATTTTGTAGTGCTTACCAGCCCTCAATTCACAGAAAAGAATTTTTTTTTAAATATTTCTGAACAAGGGTAAAAGTTTTTCTCTTCTGTACGATTCCAAATTTTCTGATTGCATGAATTAGAGAATAAAGTACATATTATTTTCTGCCTGGGAGTTACAATGTATTAGTACTGTAGATATATTTTTTCTGCTATGTACAGAGTCACAATTTTTGTGGGGAAATTTATCACAGCATATGAAATAGCAATGCGAGAGATTCGCATTATTTTCTACCCATGGATTGAACTGAAATTGTGATTCTACCAAATTATGTACCCGTGGAAAAAAAGGACATATACAGCAATTTTTTTTATTAAAATGAACAAGTTTATTAATCATTGTGTTGCATTAATACTGTATCAATACATTAGAAGATGTTACTCTAAACGTGTGTCTTCCTAGTCAATTACATATACCAGACACCTAATTTGATGGAACAAATTAATTTCTGTGAATTTTAAACATGCATGCATAATTTCATAGACTTCACACAAATGTATCACGATATATAACAACCAGGCCCAAAGTTTGATTTTATTTTAAATACATGTATACATGTGCATAGTGTGTTCAGGGTAAATGTGTTATGTATAATGACTGATGATTTGAATTCATAAGAGTTGTATTCAAGTATGTTTTGTTTATAATCAATTATTTAAGCTTACATATGAATTTCCACAGCATTACTAGCTTTTGCTGTATAGTTGTAATATATACTAGTATATATGTAAGCTTGGAAGTGTTAAAAATTTATAATTATTCTATGGAATTGAGCAGCTTAATTAAAAATTTAGTACTTTAATTTGTTAACGGCTTAAATAGTAAAACAAACATTGTATTTGCAGCAAATATACTAGTCTAGGACTTTTACATGTTGAAGTTGTGTTTTAAAGACAATTTTTTTTTTATATTAAATCATACATTTTGAAACAATTGCAAAGAAGTATGAGTGAATTTTGGCTAAAATTTTGGAATGATTTTTATTTTATATAGAGAAAGAAGAAAATGAAGGGGGAGAGCTTGATTGCAAATTTTGTTTCATTTATACATGCAAATTATTGGTCTAGTCTAAGCTCAAACTGTGCTGTTTATTATCGTTAGATATGCTGTCAGCAAGGATACATGTGGAAATTTGGAATTAAAAAAGTTGTTATTAAGCTTATTGATATCCAATTTGGGAAAATAAATATTTTTCTTAATACTTATTGCAATTATTTGTTTCTATTTTCTGAGATAATAAAGGTAAATAGTTGTAAGAATCAAGAATGCACACGTGTTATGCTCGTTTTAAAAAATGTAACAATAATGAAATTGAAGTATAGTTGACCTTCTGGTAAGAGCGATACTTCTGTCCGGGATAAACGACTTTAGTTAGTCCCTTTGTAAAATTGTCACGTGAAATGTTAAAGCCAAATGTTCGATGGACGATGATTGAGGACAAACGAACTTTATGGGTTAAAGCTATCGTTACGAAGCTAGTGTCTGCAAATACATGTAGTGGAATGTGCAATCAAATTCTGATTAAGTTTTCAACCATGTTTGGACAGTTTCTTTTTTTACTACAAAGAAAAAAATTGTAAAAAATTAAAATCTCTCGGAAAGTCGAAATCTTTAAACTTTTTAAAAAGAAAAACTGATTTCAATTAAGAGAAAAAGCTTAGTTTAGCACGTGTATATGACGTGTTGTTGAGATCCTGTATGCTCTCTCGCATTTACATTAACTGATCCCTGATAGTATGCAACTTTTTAAAGACCAGTCAGATGAGCACGGTCAAACTCTACAGCTATTTCTCATATATATACATGTATATTGCTTACGTGTTTGTCCGCAGCAGGTCACTTTAGACTGACATTAGACGCAGCTTTGACATAATTGTGTTGTAGGGAACATGAAATTGTCAAACAGCGTGAATCCAGGGGACTTATAAATATATTACAGTAACGACTTCCCAGTCCATAACTTGATGATCTATGTTCCCGCCAATTCATCCACTGTGCTCCAGAGTTACGTAATATATGAAGCTGAATAGTAAATGAATATATTACATGTAATATACAGGTTGTTAAGACAGCAATTATTTGCTTGTTAGACTAGGCACACATTCTGATATTTTTATAAGTTGAAAGCTTTGGCAAACCATGCAATTGCAAACAGTTAATTGATTCCGATATACCTCATATGGCTGTTAGAATTTTTACGTGAGCAGGAGCGTAGTGTTTTTGGTCGCATTTACAATGTGTGATAATATTAGTAAAGGTAGAACCTGACAAATTAATTTGAACATTTTAAATACAGGCAATTAAAGTTTTTCAACTATAGACCCTGACTCTGCCCATAATTCAACCTCACCTTATGCACCTCGCATACATTGCAACCAATCCCCAACTGCATGGAAGTAAAAAGTGCAGAGATGATTAATTAGTACATGCATTAAATTAATTTGTCCACCTGCTCTGTATAGGCTATGTGCTTGTTTGATATATGGAAATCTGACACTGTTCGCTTCATCTATATATAAGGCGTGTAGCATCGTTTTAAAAAAAGGGGGCACGCATAAGCAAAGAAAAGAAGAAAGGAAAATAGTCCATAATTGAAAATTCTATTTCTTAAAAGGGGAGGGGGTGTTAGATTCCAACGTTTTTTTTTTTTTTCAACAAAAAAAAAATATAAATCCATTAACATGCAATTACTATATCTCAATTAATAAAAGAAGGGGGTGGTCAATCGGTTTCTTCCAGCATTGTTCTTAAACACTACATGTAATGCACAGTCCTTGTATCAAGATATGTGTTTTTATCATTAAGCACCTTAGTTAATCAAGGACACAAAATTGTTATATTATTGTTCTACCGACAATATTGAGATACAGAAGTATTTAAGCTTATAATAAAAAAAATGTTGCTTTTGCCTCGTGGATGTGTCTAGACCCTGCAAGAATCTCCTTCATTTAAGGACATAGGAAACTCAGAAAAGTGTATTATGAAATATGGAGATAACGAACAAGCTGGAAGTCAATTAAAGCAATACAAATCGGGAGCAGAGCAAACAAGGACCTCCAAAACATCAGAGGTGGGATGAGATGCCATTGAGGAGTGAGCATCCCCTGAAGACCGGTCACACCCGCCGTGTGCTCCTTGTCATGATCGGTAAATATTTACATTTCCAATGTCTTTGTCCGAGATAAAATTACAAATTGTAAAAATACTTTATTTCTACATAAATCTACTGGTTCATCGATAGGCGCGGTTAAAAAAATCACGTGCGGGGCGGGACAAATAGAGACAGAAGCGGGGCTATTAGCACGGGAATTTGCAGAATCAGGAGCATGTAAATATAAGGAATAACTGTCAGATTTTTTTGATTCATGGCGATGATCAATAGATTGGCTTGCGTGATAATTTTATGCATAAATGCCTTCGGCGTTTATGCAAATTATCACGCAAGCCTCTCGATTGATCACATCATGAATCCAAAAAATTAGACAGTTATTCCTTAAATAACGGAAAAATCCGTCGACAATTGAGTGTGTAAATAATGGCCTAAGAATTAGTATGAAAAACGTCAGCATTTGACTTAATAAATATATTGTATTTGCTAGCAAAGTCATTGTATCGCGCGATCGACCATAGGACTTACGAAATGATGACTTAAAACGAGACTGTTGATATTCTTGTTTCATCAACTTGTTTTTTCATGGCCGTAGGAACGGGGGGAGCACGGGGGGGGGGACGTGCCCCCCCCCCCCATAATTTTGCCGATATATAGATTACTATAGTAAACATAGATACTATAAGCTTGTGCCCCCTCAATAAAAACGCCTGATGACTTTTTTTTTTTATTTTTTTTTTTATTTTTTTTTTTTTTTTTGCCTTGTCAGAAAATTTTTGGTAGTGCCCCCTCAACTGTCAACTGAAAAATGTTTGGCTGTGCCCCCCAAACTGAAATTGCTTCCTACGGGCCTGTTTTCAATAACTAACCTCGTTTTAGAAATTGTTCATACGTAGATCATGCTCTTGCGTATCGAATCAACTGAGAGATATACACCCCATATGCAGGTGATAAGGGAAGTTGACGATTGAAAAGTTAAGTCATCATTATTCTTTCAAATTTTTATTTATTTGTACAGACTATTAATAATAATGTTAAAACACGTATTTATTACGAAATTCTTCCACCAAACCAGCCTTGTTTTTCTATTCAACCCAATTTATACGTTTATTTATGTACTAAAATTCAATGCAAAAGCATAAGAAAAATGTCTATAATCCCCCAACCTAAATATAATTTTAGTCTACTTTAGTCTACTTTTCCATGTTTTAACATGTAATAAATAATTTGAATCTGAAAAACAATGAACTATATGAAGCTTTGATAAATACCCCTAATTTCGGTGAATTTTGGGTATCCGATGACCTTTAGGAGAAGTGGCTCTCTACTCTAAATTTCACTATATTTTTTTTTAAACTTCCCAACATTGATTTTCTTCAAGAGTTATAGCATCAGATTCAAATGAAAAATAGTATAAGGTATGAATCTGCTTATTTTTTCAGAAATGATTTATTTATGTCAGACCATGATTTGAAGAAATTGTAACACAGAGAATAGGAAAAGTTGTAATTTATAACCACAACATAAAATTAAAAATATGAGGTGTATATGAAAATAATTTTTACTGTCATACCTATTAAATTCATACTGGAAAACATAATAAAGCACTGCTTCTAAGTCATGCAGATTATCACAATGTTATAGTATATATATGTGCTTGTAAGAAAGAATACATCCATTAGCAAGAGCTATCTTTCTTAAAAATATTTTTTAATGAAAAAAAAGTAAAATACTAATAAATACATGTACATGTATATGGTACAGATACATTAAAGCATTCTAAAAATAGTTCATAAAAAGATAGAGAAACTATAAATAATATAAGGATATTTTACTTGGAAAGTTATTTCTCTTTAGAGGGTCGGTCCTTCTTAATCATGAAACTGATTCCGAGTTTGTTTATAACAATTTGTAGTTTAAGTTTGGTTTATTATTGACATATACACTAGACAAAATTTCAAACGCACCTCTCAACATTTGCATTTGTAAATACAATATCCGCCGAATTGACTTTATATGCCGTGTTATCATTATCATGGTTCCTTTTGGTTCCGGGTGAAACATAGGGCCTCAGCAACAGTCCTCCAGCCAGCGCACTCTGTGTTGGGCAGCCTTTTTTCAGTTGTCCCCAGCTCTGTCTACAATGTCTGATTTCCTCTTCACATGATCTTCGCCAGTTTAAGGCCTTCTCAAAGCCCGTGAAGTTGAGGTACAGCGTTGACTGCCACTCTAATTACTGTTCAATTATTATACGAAGAGTGGCGATCTGGTCTTTACAGGACTTGCCCTTTTTTAAAGCCTGCCTGTTCTGGAAGAAATCGTTCTTCTATCATGGCATCTTTAAGTCTTTCCAGCATTATTCTTGTCAGGATCTTGCTTGGGATAGACAGGATTATGATGTCACGCCAGTTCTTGCATTTTCCCAGGTCTCCTTCACGTTCTTCCAATCGGCTGGTACCATCCCCTCTGACCAGAGAGGTAGTATCATATCTGGAGAAGTCTTTATATCTGCTTTGAGGGCTTCTGGAGGGATTCCATCAGGCCCAGCTGCGACTTTCCACACCTCAGTTTCTTCAGAGGCTTGATGGTCTCAGCCCTTGTGAGAGGGGCGGTGATCACTGCTTGTTCAGAGTCTTCTGGTGGTATGTTTGGTGTTGTTTCAGGCTTTGTGCGATTTAGGAGTTCCCTGAAGTGCTCTGTCCAACGCGTTCTCTGGTCTTCTCCCTTTGTGATGGAGTTACCTGCCTCGCTTTTTACTGGCTTGGTCTGTGGTGGTCTCTTCCCAGCCAGGGTTCTAAAGACTTTGTACAGGGTGCTGAAGTCTTTTTTCTTCCTCTCCTACTTCCTCAGCTTCTGTGGCTAGTGTATTATGCAAGAGTCTCTTACATGTATCTCTCCATGCACTTTACCTCGTTGTTTAGTATAGTGTGTTGTCTATTAATTCTTGTTTCTTTTGCTCATCGACTTAAGAAATCTTATATGCCGTGTTACCCACAGTCGACTTTGCTGATGTCTTTACTGGTGTCCACACAACACTTGCCCTCTTGTTCGCAAACTATTTTTCAAAGCCAATTGCACACCTTTTGTGGGCTAATA